TCCATTATTTTTATTGAAACCACGTGAACCACTTTCCTTATTTCCCCCATCTTTCATTTTGATTTCAAATTTATTCTTATTATTTCTTTCTTTATTTTTCTTTCACATTATTTTTAATCTTTTTCAAATTCCATTCATACCATATAGCTTTGCACACCAAACCATCTTTTATTCATTTCAGGGATCAACCCCGATCACAATTTTCCCACAAAAAAAAAAAAAAAAAACAAAAAAAAAACAAACACAAAAACACAAACAAAATACAAACAACCAACCACATTCACAAGTGGGATTTTTCTTCTCTACTCTGCCGCCGGTCTCTTCTTTTTGCCTCCGTCCTGAGCGGGCCTTGACGGTGTTGCCTCCGTGCTTCCTAGGCCACCAAGCAAGTTGCCTCCTGCCTGCTCCTCCACTGCCGCATATGGCGGCCCTCCAAATCGGAACATCACGGTGGCCTTCCGCTTCAGTTCCTTACAAGGTTCTGAAAAGCGGTTGCGGTCGCCGTAACGGTGGCGGTGACGCGGTTGCGGTTGCGGGGTGTAAAGGCCGTAGTGTAACGGTTGCGGTAACCGGAACCGTGAATTTTTTTATTTTTCGCACAATTTGAAAAAAACTTACCGATACGCATATTTTTTTTCCATGGCACCGCCATTTTTTGCTCCACCGACCGCATCGGAAAGTTTAATGGAGCAAAACCAGAGGTGTTTAGTTGAGGTTCACTGGCCACCGCACAAGTTATTTCTCTTGTGGGCTCGTTCAGTTCTGGAAAGAGCGTGAGCAGGTTCTGGGTAGCTGGACGGGAAGAAGAGGCCATGTTTTTGGGTTGCTAAGTGTTTCAGCGAAATAGCAATTTCAGACTGGTAATGTTCGGAAGGGTTGATGACAGACTGGCAACAAAGTGTTCCACAGTTTCTCTCTCCGCAGAGGCAGAGTTATTAGGCAACAGAGTGTTATACAGAATCTCTCTCAGAAATCTCTCTCAGAATATCTCTCGCAGGTTTTGTTTTTTTGCTTCAGCCTCAGCCTCTGTCTTATAGCCGAGGCAGCCACGCGCATCGCGCGCCTCTTACCACCAGCGACAAAACGGGCACGCAAGCCAAGGCGCCCACGTGCCTCGCCATCAGGTCCGGCACACCTTTTGATGAATTGGGCACGCCTTTTGATGGCACGCCTTTTGACAAAATTGGGCACACCTTTTGAGGGTGCCACTTTTACAAGGGTCCGACAAGACTCTATAAACTGTCCAGACATTTGATACCGGTTAGCTTTTTTAAGGGTCCGACAAGACTCTGTAAACTGTCCCAACATAGATTCCGGTTAGTTTCTACAAGGGTCCGACAAGACTCTGTAAACTGTCTTCTACAACGGTCCAACATGACCCCATAAACTGTCTTCTACAACGGTCCAACATGACCCCATAAACTGTCTTCTACAACGGTCCGACATGACCCCATAAACTGTCTTCTACAACGGTCCAACATGCCCCATAAACTGTCTTCTACATCGGTCTGACACTGCCATCCAGTGTCCTCTACACCGTTATGACACCACCATACAGTGTCCTCTACAACGTTATGACACCACCATTCAGTGTCTTCACCAGTGGTCTGACACGACCATACAGTGTCTCCTATCCTTTTTTATTTTTACACTACTCACACTCACCTACTACACTCCACTACTCACACTCACCTACTACACTCCACTACTCACACTCACCTACTACACTCCACTACTCACACTCACCTACTACACTCCACTACTCACACTCACCTACTACACTCCACTACTCACACTCACCTACTACACTCCACTACTCACACTCACCTACTACACTCCACTACTCACACTCACCTACTACACTCCACTACTCCTCACCTACTACCCAAACCCTCTCCTATATAATGCCACTCTGATTTGTAATACAATATATCAATCTTGTAATATCAATCAATCAATAAATCAATAATACATAAATTCCAACAATAGTCTCATAAATAGAAGTTCAAAATACAAAATGTCAACATAAAAATGTAAAAGTATAAAGCATGAAATCTAAATTTTGTTCAATAAATTTAACATAAGAGAAATAGATTAAGTTCATATTCAAATATAATTAAGTAAAAAAGTAATGAAATCTTGTAGAACGTGAAGATTGGACATTTAAAACATGTATAGATAACATTTTTTCTTAAGTTCTATGCAACTAGAAAATAAAAAGAGAAAATAGCAATGTCTACAGAATTTATTAAAAATATATATATATATAGAAGTGTAACGGTGTTGTAGCGGCAATGTAATGGCCGCTACGGCCTTTACGTAACGATAGGGGCCATTACGGTGGTGAATTTCTATCACACCGCTATAGCGGCCATATCGGCTAGTGGTAACCATCACAACCGTTACGTAACGGCGTTACGTAACGGTCGCGGCCGCTTTTTAAAACCTTGGACACAACATAAACTTGAAAAAATGAATTGGTAGTAAAAAACATACCCCTCCTCTATGCTTCCTAAATCCATGTCTTCTATGATTGACATTATCTGTCTTTCACATGCATCGCTAGTCTCAAGAAATTGCTTCTGGTCCTCTGAAACAGCAGTACTTTCCAGGAGTTTGTGGATGAACCGTATTCCATTCAGTGGATTTTTCATCTCTTGTCGAATGTAAGCCAACTCTTTGAGTTTCGAAAGGCTCTCTCCACTCTCTTGTTTGTTTCCAAAGGCATGCACGTCAGACACAACTGTCTGCAAAAAACAGAAACACCCAATTATATTCCCGGCCTCATCGGTTCTCTTATTTGCCATTAAGAGCACCTCCACATATTTCCCCTTCCTATCAAAAAACCCAAATGGGAACTTCTCAGAATCATGACCACTAATCACTCGGTACATAAGAATCATAAATTTAGTGAGTGTATCTTGACCTTTCAGCTGACAGAAACCCCCAAAAATTTCCCCTGGAAGCATTTTTCCAATAATCTCATTTCGCATCCAACCAGTTAGCTTTTCCATGGCTGCATTCCATTCAGAACAGCAGGCATTTTCATCTGAAGCAAATATTGGTGGAATCAATGGGTTAAGATTTTGTATGATGGCCTTGTAATCCCCTTGCAAGCGGATGAATTTATCCATAACAACTTTCTCAGATGTGATGTCTTGAGCTACAAAGCACACCCCAACAACATTGTTTGTGTAATCCCTACTTGTACAGGCATTGGCCACAACGTATAAAACCGAGTTTTGCTGATGTAGCCCAAACTTTCGCAGCTTTAACTCAACATTTTTCTCCTCCTCACCTGGATTAGATTCAAGTAAATTTAGAAACACAGTTTTTGGAAGAGAGAGAACAGCAAAAGTACGTGACTCCTCAAGTTACTCTATACTTCTTTGCATTAATTCATATGAATAAAATAATTTTTATATGTGAATATCCTTTTAGATATTTCCAATCATAAGGAAATGGTTATGGGTAACAAAATTAAAAGACCAATGCAGATATTAAAATGGCAAATAATAACTTTGCAAAAAGCCAAATAGTTGGAATTATAAGGGTGGGTTCAGTTAAAATTTTGTGCAACAAATTCCATGTCAAGCTAATCCTCAACCTGAAAAGCTTACTCAATATACCATAAAACAAGAGAGTTGAATTTGGTAGCATTCTTCAAGAATCGTAATCATTACTATTTGTAGAAATTGAATAGAAAAATAAAATTGAACGTGAAAATAGAGATGATAGAATATAAAATATGTTTAAAGTTGTAGTCTTCTTCATTACTAATGGAAGAAAAAAAAGTCACCATGCAAAGCTCTGCACATAAGATTTTCAGCCACTCCACGCGAGTCCTCCTGAACAACTTCATTGATCAAGGATTTCCCCATAGCTTCACTAGCTTGTAATCCTGTCAATTCAGCAATTTTTGCATTCCATCCATTGATAAAACCACCCGAATCAATGCCAAAAATAGGAGCCGATGCTGTCTCAATCAATCTAACCATTTCACATGCCACTGAACTAAGTTCATCCAACCTTTTTACCTCAGAATCATTGTGTTGTGTGTATGCCATTGCCTTCGGACCACTGTTGTCAATCTCATGAACTGAATCTCTCATTATAAGCTGCAAAGAGTGAATAGCATTAATCTCCGAAACCTCCCAAGGTGAACTTCTACTTTTAACCACTTCGAGAAAAGCATTGAACGAAGATCTCGGATGCATTCTTCCACCATCATCTTTATCCTCAGGATGATGCATAGCCCCTCCCCATTTGATTTCCTTAGCAGTGTGAGACCTAAACCAAAATAAGAAACCCTCTGAAGTAATTCTTGCAGTTGCCATGCCACAAACCGCATCACCAAGTAAAGATGCACTCAGGTAACCAGCATCAGCCAGACTATCTGTACTTAATCCCGTGGAGTCCCCATGATTCTTTAGAAGCCACTCTGCAATATCTTTGACCTGTGATTCGGTTGGAGTCACGCCCAACAACCAACATTTCCCACCATAATACAATGCAGCCCCATCGCACTTCACGAGATCCATGATACTAGGGGATTGAGTAACAATCCCAACTGGGGTATCCCGTAGGAGCATGTCACATAATAAGGTTTGCATCCGGAGAATCTTCTTCTCCGCTAATTGTGATGCCAATTGAAGCTCCATGTAGAGCTGCAACCCAAATGCCTGCATTAGGAATTCACAAGCGTAGCGAATTGGAAAAGGAACGTAGCGAGGGGATGCATGGTGACATACAACCAAACCCCATAGCTTCATTGAGTCATTGTCATTGATAATAACCGCCAAAACCAACGAGGCAATAGAGCCCATGTTGGCCATGTACTGTGTGTGGCAGCCATGGGGCGCACGAAGGGTTGAATTGACCAAGCAAAGGGGCTGTTTTAATTCTTCATGTACAATTACTCTAACTGGATTTGCATGGCAATCACATATCATCCGAACTCGATTCTGCTTGAACAAAAATCGAGCAGCTTGAGGTATATCTGTTGCTGGATAATGCAATCCCAAGTAGGGCTCTAGATCAGACCTTCTAATTTCTGATACAACTTCACCATGATCATCATCATGAAACTTATAAACCATAACCCTGTCATAGCCAGTCAGTTTCTGAACATCTTCCACAACAGTATCACACAAAACTCCAATATCTCCTCCAGGGAGAGACTGCAGCCTAGAAATTGCTCTCACAGCGAGTTTCTGCGATTGCACTGCACCCGCAAGTGACGATGCAGGATCATTCGATCGGGCAGGCTCCAAATCAATCACAATTCCCACATCAATCCTGTGGAGTATGGCATAAAATGACTTCTGGGTAGTTTTAGAATGGACCCAAATTGGGTTTAAAAGTGAAATTTCTCTAGACGCAACAGCTTTCACCAAAGAAACCCCAGAAGAAGGGCTAAAAAGTGTTCTAGCATCAATCCCAATCAGACCCATTGACTTGTTTGACTCAAAAAGATTGTTCAAACCCAACATAATAAAGCAATTCTCACTGTAACCTATGATCTTAAAAGTGGGTTCTTCAATTGCAATGATACAACCAAAGGGTTGGATGAGACCACCCCTCTGAATTCTAGAGAGATAAGCAATAATCTGTTCAGCAGGTACAGTTTGTGGTGCATGTATAACTGATTTTGAGTAATTAAAGGACTTACCAGAATCAGTAGACCGTTCAAACTCAGCCAAGAGCCCAGCATCAGCATTGTACTGAGCTATGGCTTTGTTCTTGAGGTTCATGTTGCTTGCTGCTGATGATGAGAAGGCGGCTGTGTTCTTGTTTGGGGCTGTTTCCTCTCTTCTTTCTTTGATTTCTGACTCCATTATTTTATGGTAGAAGATGGGTTTTTCTCTGAAACTCAAGTGGGTTCAGAACCATTGGTGATAGTAGATGATGGAGCTTTATCATCACCACTCTTCTTGCTTTGCTTCAGTGGTTTGAGCCTTGCTGTGTTGTAGCTTCCAATTTCCAAACATCTCTTTCAATTGCAGGAAAGTGTGGCTTCACCTTTACTTTACTTGCATTATTACTGGCCCATAACTAGCTTGTGTTACTTTCCACCACCTAAATCTCTCTCTCTCTCTCTCTCTCTCTCTCTCTCTCAATATATATATATATATATATCTCGGTTCTTGTGGTTCATGTAGTTCCATGTAATATTTGTATCTTAATGAGTCCGAATCTTTTCGTCATTCCTAAGAAAATAGTAAAAAATAGAAAAAGAACTTAGAAGCTTCTAATCGTGTGCTGCGAAATTCTATGGTATCCATATTTGGTCATCATCTTTCTTATATTTAGTTATGATTTATTATATTGTTAATTATAAATTATTATAATATTAATTATTATTTAAGATTAATAATTAAATTATAATATTTATTATAATTAAATTGACAAATATTAAAACTTATATATGGTACACATTTTCAATAATGTGTAACATGGCATTACCCTTGTTGGCTTGCATTTTTTTAACAAAGAAAGAACTTTATATAGAGAGGGTTAGCTGCCGTTTAGAGGAGTTGAGTGAAAGATGAGTCATTCTTAAGATTTGTTTTGAATTTTGTAATTTTAAAAAATATAAATATTATATTACCAAAAATTTTTATTTAATAAAATTAATAAAAAAAATTAAAATTTCTAATTATTCTTTTACACAATAATAAAATTACTTAAATTGTTAATTGAAATATATTTTTGATATCATTAAAAACTAATAATTAACTTGATAATTTATTAATAAAAATAATTATTTGTTGTAGCGCCCTGACAATAAACCTCCCTGATCCCGTTCATCTAGTCATTTCCAGTATACGATCAACAACAAGAATGAAACAAAGTAGTAATGAAATAACATCAACAACATTCCTTTCATTTTGAATTATTTCAAAGCTTTACAATATTGTCTCATTACATTCATAAATAAAATAAAATAGTTCAACAAGTAAGGAATGATACAACAAAATCAGTTATAAGTTAACTTTCCCTCAAAATTTGTTCCTTGTTACACCAAAATACAAATCGACATATAGACACCCAAACTACCTTAGGCATACACATCACACAATTCCAAAAGAAAGGCATTCATGCTCCAAAAAATATCTGCATCTTCATTCCCTGAAAATGGTTAGCTTTGGGGTGAGCAAAAGCTCAGTAGGTGATGAATTTAACGAGGTTATAACATTAATTGAAAAACACATGATCATGCAATGTAAACATTTGATAAATTTTGTGATATAGATGTATGTATAGATGCATTTATGTATGAGTATGAAATGAGCAACGTTAAGGTTCAATTAGCATTTTCAGATTTTACATGGGTGGTAAATATACTATGAAATTCCAAGTAAGAGCCGCAATTTAAAATACAAACATAGATATAGGTTTTGTATACTGAAAATAGTCTCACATTTGCCGACTCCAGAAACAGTGGGGCGATGGGCACCCAAAAACTTTTTCCCTTCTACATTTGCTGACTGTAGAAACGGCGGGGACGTGGACACCCAAAAACCATGTTTTTTTTCATATTTGTCGACTCTAGAAACGGCGGGCTCGGGGACACCCAAAAACCATGTTTTTCCACATTTGTTGACTCCAGAAACGGCGGGCTTGTGGACAGCCAAAAACATTTTCCCACATTCGTTCAGTGATATGCGCAGACAGAACAATTGGACACCTTGACTCCCCGCACGGGATACCAAATACAATACACAATTTAAACTAAACACGATTCACTATCCAGACTCATAGATTATTTACCCCCTTTCAATATTTCCAACGTTCAACAAGATGGCCAAGTCACATAAAAATTTAAAGTACATATGATGCATGAATTTTGAAATTTTTGGATTTCCTTAAAATGATTCTAATTCCCAACAATTCACTATTTCACTCTTCAATAATAAAGATTACTCGTTTAACAATAATCACCAACACAAGGTGTATATATATAAAAAGAAAAAAAAAATCCAAATCTTGCATTTCACCTTCAAAGTAAAGCAATTACCTTCAATTTCATGTTTTTGAAATCATTTAAGCAAAACCCCTTTTTATTGAACAATTTCCAAAACTAGGGTTTTATATAAAATTTAGGGATTTCCTCCATTTCATGAAATTGAAGCTAATGTTCATCACAAACAACAATAATCATCAATAATAAACACAATCATTCCATAGTCATGAAACATTGCTGACTTTTGTCCAATCCCTTTACTAACACAAAATAATTTCTATATATATATAGATTCACTTATATATATATACACATATACGATGAGTATCTAATGAAATTATCACATATGAGTTCCAAATTAAAGATATAACAAGTTAAAAACACCCCTACCTCAAAGATAAAAGCTAGAGTTGAGAATCAACGTGAAACTTTGACAAAACTGCGAAACAATTGGTGAGAGTATTGATCTAGACTTGCTCCTTGACTTTCTTGAAAGATTTGGGGTGAATCTTGGCTAGAAGTTAAAGAAATTTAGTGTTTCTAGGCCAGGGTTTTCGGAAGATAGTGTTTGAGAGAGAGCGAGGATATGTAAAAGTGGAAAGAACATGAATAAAAGTTGACTTTTTAAGTCAGCTGCCTTGACAAACTGCTTGAGCGAACTTTCCATTGCTCAAGTGAACATCACAATTTTGAGGGGATCGCTTGAGCGACCTTTCTACAGCTTGAGTGAAAAACATGAGGTTCTAAAAGTTTTGCAAAGCTACAGTGAAAATACTGGGAGCATGAAATCTGCGCTCGAGCGACTACTTAACTGCTCGAGCGGTCTGCCAAAATCAATTGTCACAACCTACCCTCCTTAAAGAATTTCATCCCCAAAATTTTCGCAATTCCTATCAAAACAATCCCAATAATTCTCAAGAAAGAGGAATGCTACTCTTACAATCATCTCTATCATCAATGAAAGTAAAATCAATTCAACATTCACATCACAACGTATAATTTCAAGTTTTTTGGTAATCAATGCAAATTCATTGTTTCACTAACTAAGTCACAAGATATTATTACAATTATAAAGAGTATCAAAATTGCACATCGTTAAACAACTCAGGATATTTTTCACGAACTTCAGCTTCCCTCTCCCAAGTGGCTTCTTTTACCCCATGATGATACGATAACACTTTGACTAGAGGTGTAGTTTTGCCTCTCAAAACTTAGTCTCGGGAGTCTAGAATCTTCATTGGTCTCTTATCGTAGGAAACATTTTCATCTACTTCAAGGTTCGTCCAGTCAAAGACATGAGATGGCTCGTGTTCATACTTGCGAAGCATTGAGATGTGAAACATGTCATGTATCCTAGATAATTGTGGGAGTATGGCAAGATGATAGGAAACTTCTCCCACTCGTTCAATGACATCAAATGGCCCGATGAACCTAGGTGATAGCTTCCCGCTCTGGCCAAATCTCATCAAACTTTTTCCTGGTGATATCTTCAAAAACACATGGTCACCTACTTCAAAAGACAATGGTCATCTTCTCTTATCTGCATAGTTCTTTTCTCAGCTTTGTGCCGTGATTAACCTCTTCTGGATGATAGCAGGGTTTCGGTGTTCTGCCTTGACTTGTTGACAAGTGAAACACTTAGATACAAATAAGGCTACATCCCTCTTCATGCCCCTCCACCAAAATTGACAGCTCAAGTCACGATACATTTTTGTGCCTCTGGGAGGGACCGCATGATGGGAGTGATGAAACTCTCGAAGTACGTCATCTCTACAAGATTTTGTTACAGAAAGGCGAGCTAGATATCGGATACTTGAGTCAAAATGCACCCTCAATCCTTTTTCTTCTTTCCCTTGCAGGATTTTCTCTCTAATTGCTTCTTCTTCTGGATCATTTTGTTGTGTTTCTAAAACTCGTGTGACTAGTGTTGGCTGAGCTAAAACTAAAAACAAAGTAGCTTGACTTTATGATTCACCAAGTTGTACATGAAACTCACTTAGTTCACCCAACATCTTCCAGTCTCTCATGGCGAGACTAGCAACCGAACTCATCGACTTTCTACTTAAAGCATTGGCCTTCCCAAGATGATAATGCAATTCAAAGTTATAATCTTCCATGTATTCCATCCACATTTTTTGGCGCAAATTCAAATCTTTCTAGGAGAATAAATACTTGAGACTCTTATGGTTTGAGAATACATCAAACTTCTCTCCGTAAAGGAAGTGTCTCCAAAGCTTTAAAGCAAAAATGACTGCAACTAATTCAAGATCATGAGTAGGGTAGTTTCTCTCATGAGTTTTTAATAAACGTGAACCATACGTGTAACGCCCCACTTTTTGTTACTCGGGTAGCATTACAAATCCTTTATTATAATACAATTTCAGAGATAATGTATGGAACTTCAATACATCAATAGAGACAATTAAGTAAAAGTTCTCTCATTCGAATACATAATGAATGCAACATAAGACATAATTACAGTATATTGCCCGCAGGCTTACATCAACACATGAAAGAAAAAGGGTTCAACCCCTTTTTACAACAATGGCATTCGACCAACAATTAAAAAGCCCCGTAATCAACAAATAATGAAGATCCTCAATCTTGAAACACTTCTTGATGTTCACCTGAAAAAGGATTAGCAACATAGGATGAACATAAAGTCCAGTAGGGATCCCAACATGATCCTAAACAATAACAACATATAGATAGCTATGATCATGAATGCTTTAAGTCATACCATATACATAAGTGCCAGTTTATACATAAAGATATACTTACATAGGTACTCTTTCAAACTCATTCAATATATCCAACAATCACAAACTGTTCATTTGTCCTTCTTCTTGTTACCACCTTATTTTACATTTTCCAAACGATAATAGGTATTTGAAAACAAACCTACAAAACCCAATTACTGAACTCACACCCAATTCCAAATTACAATTTTCGAATAGTAGTATCCCCAAACGAACATGAAGAAAAAACACTTAAAGTACTCCTTACACAACCATGTAAGACAAGTGACATCCTCCACAAAGCAATCATCACTCTGCATGAAACACATAAAGAGAACTAAGATAATAACGAGAAACCCAACAATGCTCTACCTGCTTCAAGCATGGTAAGCC